ATGGAGTGGGATCTATGGTTGTCTTTCAAACCGCGTGGTATTCAACAATGAACAACGTGACTTACTCACCGCTACAGATGTCACTTTAACTCCACCCATCCATCCATTCATCCATCCATCTGTTGTATTTCACTTATCTAGGGTTGGGTCGTGGGGGCAGTAGCCTACACAGAGGTCCAGATTTCTCTTTCCCTGGCTACTTTGTCTAGTACTTCCTCCAGGGGAATCCTAAAGCCAATTTCACAGTGAAAGAGGTACAGAAACAGTAGGTCTTCCGGGCAGACTCATTTACACCGACTGCGGTTCGTATGCTGAACGTCTCCGAATACTTGCTCCCACCAGAGCACCAAATGATTAGAAATTTGACATAAAAGGTTTAAAAATATACCTGTAAAAACAACGTGAACTATCAGACACTGTGAACCCATCATAATAAAACTAAATACGAAATGAAAAATGTCCGGTTTTAGTTTGAAATGAACTGAAACACGTCTCACTTCTGGCTTGGCGTAATTTCCTTAACCTCATGACAATCTGTGTGTGGCGTCTGAAGTAAAAAATAGGCTCCATGCGTAAATTTTCTGGAGCTCCACATCCAGATTTGCGCTGCACCAGTGTGAATGCTCTGGTTGGACTCAGTGATTTTTGATAATGCAGAAGCCGTACGGAAACCGGACCGCATTTCTTCTACATTCAGTGTGAAGGAGGCTTTCAGGGACCCCGGGCTTGTCCTGGGATCCTCCTCTCAGTCTCTTCTCAGTTGGATATGCCCAGAACACCTCACCTAAGGAGTCGTCTGAGAGATGCCCTAACCAGATGCCAGAGTCACCACATCTGACTCCTCTTTATGTAAAGGAGCAGCTTATCTACTCTGAGCCCCTCCTGCGTGACCGAGCTTCTCACCCTTTCTAAGGGAAAGGCAAAGCACCCTGCAGAGAAAAATCATGTGGGCTGCTTGCATGCCTTAAGGATTGGCTACATATGTATTACATGATCAATAAGATATGATATGATATATAATATTCCATATAAATATGAAATATCAATCTAGTTTCTTTGACTTATTCAGGGAAACACATGCACTTTATATAAATTCAGACAGAGTCAAGAATATAGTTATAAAAATGATTTAATTCTCTTTTTTTTTTTCTTTTTTTTTTTCTCGTGTCCTGTCTGGCCGTGAAGCAAGCAGAATTGATGTCTGAATGCTGGTGACAAGCCTAACAGATTTACTCTCAGGTGGAGCATCAAAGTGTCTGCTTTTAATGTCACGCCTGATACTTAAAACTTTATTGTTATCGTTTTTGAATGCATTTGTAATTCCGACCAGACACGGAGACAGAGGTGAAAGAGAAAGGAAGAGACAAAAGATGGGGGGGGGGGGGGGGGGGGGGACACAAAAATAAACAATAATGAACAAGAATCTGCTTCTAGACCTGCAGAAAGAGAGAAGAAAAGAAATGGGACACAACAACAATACAACAAAATCAAGCTATCACTGCGTCAACTTGATGAAGAAATATATAATCAGCATTGTTTAACTGAACAATCGCACAATAATAAATCACAGTGCAGTTAGTGCCAACCATAGCCTTAAGACATGTGTTGAACGTGCCCAAGTCCATACTTATGAGAGCACCATGTGAGCACCTGTGTGTGTGTACACGCGCTTGTTTATGTAAGGTTTCTCTATAGGAAAGTCCAATAGAGAGGGTGAGAGGCCACAGATCTGCCCCCTAAAGATGTGTAGGAGACGGGGGGAGCTCCAAGTCCCAGGGATCCAGGAGCTGCCCCAGAGCACAGGAACCCCAAGGAGACTGCGACCAGAAAAGCCCCCGCTCCCCTCAAGAGGCACAGTGGATATCCCCGGGGGGCCACAACCAGCAGCCGGCAGATTCCCGGGAGATATCGGTGGCAAGCCCACAAGCCCGCCCGCAGCCTCCCACCCCCTAGCCGGCCAAGCCCAGGACACAATGAGCAGGGACCCAGGGGCGACCAGCCTCTCCGGGGACCCAGAGCCTAGGGACCCAGACCCCACCAGGCAGCCACCGGGATTGGTCAGGCAGATGCCAAAAATCTTAAACTCCTTGACCCAGGAGCCACGACCCAGGCAGACCAAGGCACCGCACTCCACACCAGGTGTGGCATGGAGAGGGGAGACGAAGATCTATATCATCACAAGAAGTCCCAGGGGACGGGAGGAGTCAAATGCCCTACCTGACATATACAGTCATACACTCCCTCCCTCATGCTCACACATGCACATACAACCAAAGACTTACAAAAATGCACACCGGACACCCACTCATGCTCCCCAGACACACCCTATTCACTCTGGTCCCGGTACTGCTGCACATGGGGTACAACCATTACCGGTTCCAAGAGTTTAACCCTTTCTGCTGGGGTGCTGATGAGCAGGCTCAACCGCCCAATGCTGAGCACAGCAACCCACTACCCCAGACCCCAACCGGACGACCAGATCTCCCTTAATTCTCTTTTCTAAACTAAATGATTGGACATGCCACATTTATGAATGAAATGATGATTGTACAGATAACAGATGATGAAAGAAGTGATGAAATAGAAGCTAAAGGTTTTAGCAGAATTTTGTGACTGTCTGAGATTGAGCTTGTGAAGTCTGGATTGTAAAATCAGTTTGGCTGTATGGTTTGATAAGCTAAACTTTATTTACTATCAAACCATTCAATGCCAGTGTGCGGAGTCTACGATACCCTTGTGTGTGTCACTCCCGGCTGTCCGGAGGAAAAGCAGCCCGAATGGTGAGTTCACCGGACGTCGAGACCACGAGAACCTAAAGAGTCGTAGCTCCCTTTGAATTCAGCTTTCACCGGCCATGAGATGCAAGCAGGGTCTGCAGGTTAGATGTCTGTCTGAGTTGTTGGGTAGCTCTAAAAAGAGCCGTTGTCTGATATCACTCGCAAGCGTTGCAGAGAGGCTTTGACCTCGGGGTCAAAAGAATGGATGTCTTAAAATGCTTGTTCACCCGACTGGCTTTATCGAGTGAACGCCGAAGACCAACTAGATCAGGAGGTGATTCTGTTTTTATCAACTTTTGTTTATAAACTTAGACAAATCAGAATTTGACACGTTTAAGAGGCATTAACAAAGACCTCAGATATCACACCTTTACTCAGATATTCAGAGGTTAACTCTTAGTGTGAAGTGACTGTTAGACATTAATATTATTGTGTGTGAGTTTACTGATAGATTAACTTGTTAAATCAACAAATACTGATCTGGTGTAGTTTAAGATCTGAAATGAATCATTGCAGGAAAAATATTCATTGTAACGCATCACTGATTAATACACAGATTATTCAAACACTTTGAGATTCAACAAGAGATGATTATCGGACGTAACAAGTGGGGGCTCGTCCGGGATATTATCCTTTAATGTTCACATCTTAATTCTGGAGCCTTTTTCACCATTTCTCATATCTTCTCTGAAGTGAACTTGTGTGTGTGTAGAATTCTGTAGACTAATGGTATGCAATGTCTGTCTTTGATTTGCAGGCTTTCTTGGAGGCACCTTCCCGTAGCCAGGTAGAGGGATGTCGCAAACAGGATTTAGTAGAGGTGGCTGTGCACCTTGGCCTCACTGGGGCTTTTTCAGGTTGTGCACCTAAACTTTGGAACCAACTCCCCCTGACGGTCCGACTTGCCCCCTCCCTTCCCTCTTTTAAAGTACATTTGAAGACTTATTTTTATTCCCTGGCCTTCCCGGCTGAGACTGTTTAACCCTTGTGCTTTCCTGTTTTTTTTTTTGTTGGTTATTGTAGTTTTTATTTGTTTTATCTATTTTATGTTGCTGTATCTAGTTTGGTGATGTATTGTCGTGTACTGCACTTTGGTTGGCGTTGTCGCCATTTAAATGTGCTTTATAAATAAAGGTTGATGATGATGATGATTAAATGACACTTCTGCAATTATCACATTTTAAATGTCAATTATGATTCAAGGAAGGTGAACTTTATTCAGAGTGAGTGTGCAGAAAGTCTGTCTTCTGCATGACTTTTGTTCCAGCCACGATGAGGTAGCTAGGTTTGTTATGTCTCCATTACCTGGTGACAAGACCCTGTGCAGTGCTTCTTGTTTGGAGGCCAGGCAGATGGGATGTTAGTGTCTGCAAATTAAAAAGTTAATTTCTATTCATTTAGATGAAATACTTAAGTTTTGGGTACGCTGCACATGCATAATATCGTTCTTTCAGTCACTACTCAAAGCTCATGACCAAAGAGCTGGGATAGAAATCGAGAGCTGTGATTTTTAGGTCAGCTATCTTTCCACCATGACAGCTCTTGTAGACTCTATTGGGAACGGTGCAGTTTAAGTTTAATATTTTAATACTTTCATGATTGGAAGGTTTGTTCAATTACATTCAAATTCCATTTTAAAGGTAAATGACTTTAAAGTTAAATGATAATGATAAATGACCTGCACTTGTATAGTGCCTTTCAGAGTCAGAGGACTCTAAAGCGCTTTACACTACAGTGTATCATTCACCCATTCACACACACATTCACACTCTGATGGTGATGAGCTACATTGTAGCCACAGCTGCCCTGGGGCGCACTGACAGAGGCGAGGCTGCTGAACACAGGCGCCACCGGTCCCTCTGACCACCACCAGCAGGCAAGTTGGGTTAAGTGTGTTGCCCAAGGACACGGCATGTGTTATGCCAACATGCTGTCATTTGTATAGACTGAAAAGGCATAGATAAATATAATTTACATAATAATTTGGAACAGTGTTTACAGACTTCCACTCCCTGATTTCTTTCCTGACTTCTAAATCTAAAGTTGAGTTGGCAGTGCCTCGGCCCACGAGTTCTTATTTTTCCCAGCATTCATGCACATCTACACCCTGATAAACGCTTTTGGTTGTTGACTCTGCGCTGAACCAGCGGTTGTACATTAACCAGAATCAGTGGTTGGAAGAGTTTGCACGTGTGTTCTGGTTTTTTCTTTGCCTGGTGGTTCTGAATGCTGTGATCAGACCCAAGGTGTTGTGGATCAAACATTGTTAACACTTGACATGCCTTCTTCTCTGCCTTTGATTCAACAGCCTGGCAGGTGAGCTGTCACTGTCTTTAAACGGGTTGGAAATGGAAGACTTTCTCATTAAATAACTGTATTTTTCAATTTTTACAAAGCAGGGATTTTGAGGTTTTCATGTTTTCTGACAAACAGTAATTAAGTACCGAAGCTTGCTCACAGGGCCTGATTTAAATGTAATATTTCAGCCCAAAACTGTAATTATATCTCCATCTTCAGGTTAAAAACTCTGCTCCACATTTATGTAGAATCAGCTGTTGCTGATGGCTAAGCTGAAAAATGTGGCGTCAGCAAATTACTACGTGGCTGCACCGCACTGGTCTCCCTGCCGACACGACACGTTGGCGCTCGGAGCCGCTTGTCTCCTTGAAAAAAATGCCCTCCTCCCCTTTTCATCTAATGATCGCATTTGACCGGAAATCCTCCAGAATTCTTTGCATGAAATGAGTCTATCTCATATATTAGTTTCACCGTTTAGGTAGAATTACTGACATAAATAGACTTTTGCTCAAGATTACAAATTTCAAGTTTCACCTATAAACGAATACATGTAAGGTGATCTCTGTGAGAATAAAGCTCTGCTGTCCCCCTTTTCAGGAAGTAGGAGTTAGTCAGAGGAGTGGGGAGCAGAAGACGACAGGACATCTCACCTCTGATTGGATAACAGCAATGTAAGACCATCACTGACTCCGTTTGCTCTGCAACATTGATGCTTTATCTCTACAAATAACACAAGTCTGGAGGAGTTCTGCCATGTGGTGGAGTTGCTATTACTAACGGTTAGCTTCTACGAGCACAGACATGCTCTGCTCTTTCCTGGACACCAAATCAATGACAGCCTTCATCCTTGTGAGTCAAGACAGGTGATTCATTGTGATGTACATCTGTCAGGCTTTCTTAATCCAAGGCTTTGTCTGTCTAATAAAGCAGGAGATTGGAGTAGGAGACTATTTTCAGCCTGCAGGTGAACCTCAAATGAGCTACACCTGGAGTGGACGCTGGCGCGTTTTTTCAGCCGCTGCTCACCGGTGATTTTAACGTGATTTTATCGTGTTTAACATTTTCATGGAGCACTAGATTGTAGTTTTCCTAAGTGGGTGTTATATTTTTTCTGCCTCCCTTGGATCCTGTTTGGTTGTCAGTTTGTTGTTTGGGTGTACAAGCGGACTAAACCTACCTCTCACTCCTCCCGGCTGTTGACCCGCTGCTATCGGCTAGTTGCCCACCGCTGTTCATCATGTGGGCCTGCAAGTTATTTATCTGGTTGACCCTCCTCTGGTCTGCCCTGTTCCTTCTCCTCCAACCTGGGGCAGCTCTATTCCAGTACACGGCGGCTGATCTCCTCCTGCTACGCGGGCATCTCTCTGTGCCTCCGCCGGTAGCATTACAGCTCCACCCGGAGATCGTCCTTCCTCCCCGCCGGAGATACATCCATCGTGGGTCTCGCCGTAACTTCCAGCTGGATAACTCTCACTCAATCACCTCATACTGGTCCACAACTCGTTGTCCTCGCCTCAACACTGGCCGGACTGTGGACCTTCGCTCGCTAGCCAGCCTGGCGAAGGCGGCAACCTCCAACCACAACAACACCGTCAACTTCGGCCTCCTGAATGTCCGCTCTCTCACAAACAAGGGTCAGCTCATTCAGGACCTCATCACCGACCGTAAACTGGACTTCATCGGGCTCACTGAGACCTGGCAGCAACTTAACGACTTTTCCCAACTTAACGCTTCCACTCCCCCCAACTTTGTTTACCTATCCTATCCACGTGTCTCCGGTCGCGGGGCCGGTCCCGCGCTGCTCTATCGCGAGAAGTGGAAGGTGCTGCCTGTCCCCACTCCTGTCTTCAGCTCCATGGAATCTTCTGTTTTTCAAATACCCGGTCCCACTCCTACAGTTACTGCCTTGATCTACCGCCCACCCAAGCCCAATAGTGACTTTTTAAGTGACTTCTCCTCATTACTCACCCAGCTCACTACCCTTTTCCCCAGTGTCATTCTGCTTGGTGATATAAACATTCATATGGACAACTTGAACCTCCCCCTCACCAGAGACTTCTCCTCCTGCTTCAACAGCTTCGATTTTCAAACATATTCTAATTTTCCCACGCACATTAAAGGTCACGCTCTTGATTTAATCTGCTGTTCTGGTTTAACCCCATCTAACTGTTCTGCTAATGATGTCCATATATCGGATCACTTTTTTCTGTCATTCAACATCCCCCTCTGCTCTTTAAGAACTAAGCCTATCCGTCACATCTCATTCCGCAATATCAAAAACATTAATCCAGACACCCTGTCATCTATTATTAACATTATATCCACCCCTAGTTCTGCTTCTCCTGACCATTTAGTTTCTCATTATAACTCCACACTCCACACTATCTTGGATTCTCTTGCCCCAGTCAAAACTCTGTCCGTCTCCCTTACTAACTCTGCCCCAGGTTTACCCCTGAACTCCAACGGATAAAAGCCAAAGGACGTCAACTCGAACTTCTCCATAAACGAACTGGTCTTGCAATACACAAAGAAATGCACAAAAGTCATCTGCTTCAATACTTGGACTCTATTAAACATACAAAATCTGCTTTCTACTCTGGATTGGTTTCCTCCAATGAAGGCAACTCCAGGACTCTGTTCTCAATAATGCGCAATATTTTTCATCCCCCGGACTCTCTAGCCCCCACCTTTATTCTGCTGACTCATGTAACTCTTTAATAACCTTCTTTACTCAGAAAATTGCTTCCATACACCAGCAATTAATTCCAAGCTCTTCCCCTCCCCCTGAGATTTTTTTCATCCCGCCAGTCATTTTGTTCCTTTCTTCTTCCCACCTCATCCGAAATATCTGATCTTATCTATAAATCCAAGCCCACCATCTGCTCTCTCGACCCCCTTCCCTACAGTTTTGGTTAAAACATGTCTCACCTCACTTCTCCCTCTCATAACCGCCATAATCCACTCCTCTCTTTCTACCGGTATTGTTCCCTCACTTTTCAAAACTGCATCTATTACTCCAATATTAAAGAAACCCGGCACTGATCCCAATCATTTCAATAATCTTCGTCCCATCTCAAATCTTCCCTTTCTATCAAAAATCCTTGAAAAAATAATCTCTGCTCAACTCCATGCTCATCTCACCCTCAATAGCCTCTATGAGCCCTTCCAGTCTGGTTTTCGCCCTGGCCACAGTACAGAAACTGCACTCATAAAAATCACTAATGACCTCCTCACTGCTGCCGATACTGGACTGCTCTCCATTCTCATCCTCCTTGACTTGAGTTCAGCCTTCGATACCATCTCTCACACCATCTTCCTCCATATATTGTCTTCCCTTGGCATTTCTCATACCCCGCTTGATTGGTTCTGTTCATATCACTCTGGCCGTACTCAGTTTATTCAACTCAAATCCTTCACTTCCCGTCCCTTCCCTGTCACTACTGGCGTCCCCCAAGGCTCTGTTCTCGGTCCACTCCTTTTCATCACTTACCTTCTTCCCCTGGGAAATATTTTCCATAAATTTGACATCCATTTTCATTGTTACGCGGATGACACCCAGCTCTATGTATCCTCCAAACCCTCCTCTTCACTCCCTCCTTCCTCCCTCATATTGTTTATCTGACATCAAAGACTGGTTCACATCAAACTTTCTCAAACTTAACAGTGATAAAACAGAAATGTTACTTGTCGGCACTAAATCTTTACTATCCAAAATCCACAGCTTTATATTTCCTGTCGACAACTCCTTAGTTTCCCTCTCCCCTCAGGTCAAGAGTCTGGGTGTCATCCTCGACTCCTCACTATCCTTCCAGTCCCACATAAACAAATTACCCGGTCTGCCTACTTCCATCTACGTAACATTAACCGCCTACTCCCCTCCCTCACTACTTACTCGGTCGCCATCCTTGTCCACAGCCTCATCACTTCCCGTATTGACTACTGCAACTCTCTTCTCTTCGGTCTTCCTCACAAATCCCTCCATAAACTCCAACTTCTCCAGAACTCGGCAGTCCGCATCATTTCCAGAACTCCCTCCTTCCACCACATCACCCCTGTTCTTCAGCAGCTCCACTGGCTCCCAGTCACTTCGAGAATCCAATTCAAAATTCTGCTATGTACATTCAAAGCCATCCATAACCTAGCTCCCCCGTACCTCTCAGACTTCCTTCATCCTTCAACCTCCACCCGTTCCCTCAGGTCCTCCTCCTCCATCCACCTCTCTGTCCCACCTTTCCGTCTGGCCACTATGGGGAGCAGGGCCTTTAGTCGCTCTGCTCCCCAGCTCTGGAACTCACTCCCTCCTGACCTCCGTAACATTGACTCCCTCACTCTCTTTAAAACCAGACTCAAAACCCACCTGTTCCAATAATTACTCTCTTTGCTCCAATCTGTCTGTTTGTTTTATGCTATTTTATCTTTAATTGTTGTGTATTTTATCTCTGTCTGTAAAGTGTCCTTGAGTGTTTAGAAAGGCGCTGTTGGAATAAAATGTATTATTAAAATGACCGACTGAATTTTAAAAATAACAAGTGAAAAATGGTTCATCCGTAATCTTGGAAATTTAAAACAGCACATACGCCACTTACACACTAGCATCGGCTCCACTCTGTTCCGCCCACCCCAGCCTGGCCGTGTTTGTTCCACACTGCCTTGGGAATGTGGACCTGATTGAGCACATGGGCAGTCTGCGGCTTGTGATGTAATGAGCACATCTCTGAGCATGTGGGCGGGGCAAAAGAGCGTGGGGAAGTCAGCTGTGCCTCCATTATTAAACGAAAGTGGCCTGAGCAGTCTTGGTTTTGGAGGCTCTGATTTTGCATCCTTCTTTGCTGTGTCTGGCAGCAGTGTGTGTGTGTATGTGTGTGTGTGTGTGTGTGTGTGTGTGTGTGTGTGTGTGTGTGTGTGTGTGTGTGTGTGTGTGTGTGTGTGTGTGTGTGTGTGTGTGTGTGTGTGTGTGTGTGTGCGCCTCCTCACAGCAGTGAGAGTCAGAGAAAAACGGCTTCAGTCAGTTAACTCCACAGCATCCAGATTGATAATGAATCGCGCATGCATGCGGGAAGCCCCCCGAGCTGATTCACAAATGGAGGCTCCTCCTAAAGGTACGCGTAATCAGCTGGCAGTGGGTGTGTCGGCCCTGTTCGGCTCCAGGCAGACCGCCTCAGGAAGAAGGCTAAAAAGACGTCCAGTTGCGCACTGGACCCAACCCGGTCCAGGCGGCGTAAAGCCGACGCTAGTGTGTGAGTGCCTATACTTTGTGGCCCGGTAAACAGAAACCTAAGCGACTGCAGATTTCCTGAACATCTTAAACATTCAGCCAGCTCAACATACAAGCCCCCACTATATTCCCCTGTGACCCTGAGGACTCTACCGTTCAGGTCCCAAAGGCCCAATAGCAAGTGAATCCCCACGAGGCAGTAATCACTAACACATAGTCTTGAACCAAGGCCAGTTTTGAGGTTGACTGTGTCTTGGTAACAAGTAGCATTTACATCTAGTTAAGGGCTCTGTCTCAGTCAAAACCTCATTCTGAGGCCCTGCAGGCACTGACCACCCTCTAGCACCTAAGATTAAAGCCTTTATTGTCCTCCAGACGACTGTTACCAGTTTTAAAGAGCTTGAAGGATGTTCTTGTTTACTCTTAACACTCTTCAGATAGAGCCTCTTGAACAAATTCAAAAAGCAGGTTTCCATTTGAACTAAAGGGAAGGGATACTTAGCAGTCGCGTCTTAGAGACATTGTAATAAAAGTAATATAGAGCCCGGCCTGGAGATGTATCTGTTTGCACACGTGGACTGTGAGGGGCCCATTAAGGCTGGACACAAAGGTCCTGCACAATAATGTGTAGAAACATCACCTAGGACTAAACCAAGGCTGAAAACTGCACCTGCTTTCTGCACAACCCCCCCCCCCCAAAGAACTAAACTGTGGTTTGCTTCATAGTGTTTAATTTAATAGCCCAACACTTTTATTCAGCCCAGTCTCACAAGGTGGTGGGTGGTAATAAAAAACTATCAGTATTGATATTTTCTAATAAAACACTAAATTTAACTATAAAGACAGCAGGAATGGTGTGGCTCTTTCTGTTATAATCTGGAGGGGCGTCTTCCTGCAGGGATTAGGAAACTTGTCTGTGAAAGTCCAATAAAAAGTCTCAGGCTAAAACGCATAATCTGGGATTCTAAAAGAAAAGCTGCATTTTAAGTTAAACACAATAGTAAACACACAGGACCAGATATAGGGCGCCACAATGCTACCAAGATTTTCCCAAAAAGCGCTACGCCCTCTGTTGTTCTGGCGGGAAATAGCTTTGCAACACTCCCCAGGTGACGAAGAAGTCTGACAGAAAAACGTTTCATCGATGCGCGTGCATGACTGCACCTGAGCTGATGCAGAAGCATGAATCAGGCTAAATTAAAGCTTAGTTTCATCAGCATGATTGCAGTCTCACACACACATTGACAGAGACGTTTTCCTTTTATACTTTGGCAGTGTTGTGAACCAGTTCTCTGCCAGGACAGCAGGGGGCGTGGACCTTTTGTGGTGGGTCTGCCTACCGTTACAGTGACATCTCTGACCAACGACAGGTTATTTACTTCAGCTAGTAAACGCAAATATCTTGAAGGAGCTGTGAATGTAACTGCTGATATTGGAATTTTTCATTGATCCTATTTTGCTTAATAAAGTTATAACGAAAGGTTTGTAAATTGCAATGACTGAGAGAGCAAGTTTTCACTGAGCTGGAACTGGTTTGTTCTTGAGGGGAAAATTTTTGTTAGAAAATTTTCCACAGGAGCGAAAGAGACGTGAAGTCAATGGAAAGCACATCCACCGCTGCCTCGGCTGTTGTTGGGCCGAATGACCACAGACATGCACTCTGTCGCTATTGACTGATAAAAGTTGGGCTCCATTCCATCCGTCCTTGCGTGCCCGTTGATGAGCTCATACGTTGACGGATAATGGGGCTGTGTGTCTTCACACCTCTGCGGACGGAGGTGAATAAACTAGGTTTTGCTGGTGTGATCCTGACCCGGTTTCACATTGGAAGCATCTTCGGTGTGAAACGGCAGTGGAACAGTTTCCTCGCGAAGCGGCCCTTTTTGCCCCGGGAGAGTCTTGGCCACTGTGCTCTTCACTGGACTCACAAGATCACAAAATCCCTCGAGACTTCAAAAGTCATGGCTTCAAAGGTCACTGTCATTAAACCCAAAAGAAGGAAATCACGTTTGATATCGCTGTTTGATCAATCAATCAATCAATCAATCAATCAATCAATCAAAGCTTTATTTATAAAGCGACTTCCTTAACCCTATCGGGAAGCCCAAGGCGCTGATGTCATATTTAATGATGTTCCTCTCCACTGCCAGGCCTAAACCCATGAAAAACACACTGCTACATTTCTGGAATGAAGCTGGGAGTGAATAAGATGGAATTTCATCGCTGCAGTACTGTTATTTGGAAAATTACCAGCT